TTTTTAGCAGAAATGTATTTGGGCACTATGAAGGGTGGATCTGGCACTATTTCGGGCTCTAGCAAGGTTCTACCAGGCTTATGAGAATTTTTGTGGGCCAGGGGATATATTTCCAGAAATAAATATTTTCGCAAATATTTCGCAAATATTTTGCAAACAGGATTGCAAATATTTTGCAAATATTTTGCGAATATTTTGCAAATATTTTGCATATTAATGAATTTCCAAATATTTTGCAAATATTTTGCAATTATTTTGCAAATATTGACTTTACTAATAAATTTTCAAATGTTTTGCAAATATTTTGCAAATATTGATTTTACGAATAAATTTCCAAATATTTTGCAAATATCTTGTAAATATTTTGCAAATATTTGTTTTACGAATAACTTTGCAAATACATATATTGTGCAAATATTTGTTAACACAAATATTTATGAAAGACAAATACTCATTTTCCTGAAGATCGCATAATATTTCCTTTGAATTCGATGCCTAGAAATTTCGGCTATGCTATGATTTCAATGTGTTTCACCTGCTGGTAAACTATTCAGAACTGCTGTCACTCAGCGTAACTATACACAAGATGAATCCATATCACAAAGAAAATCATCAATTTCATTGATGGCATAGCACCTTCGACGCACAATCTGAGATGCAAAAACGACCGAAACATGTCCACATGTGTTGGTCGCAAGTGCTGCGCTAGAGTTCGCACGAAAGCAGCCTAGGCTGAGGCCTACAGCCAATGTAGCCCAGGATTGTGGACCAAAATTGACAGCTAAGTTTTCAGGAGTGTAATCTCAGTTTGAGCTTGTGGGATTTCTTGAGGAGCAACTCCAACACAGCTCTACACTAAAAGACTGCTGCAAATTGCGCCGGCTGCTCGGAAACAAGCAGATGGTAGGTTAGGGCACCTGCAAACACAAAACACAACTATGCTTAGCCCCCTGCTGAAACAGCTAATAGCAACCAATGAGGTCACCAAAGAAACTTGGGTTTTCAATTCCAAGCCCAAGCCAGCGCCTTGTGGCTTTCGGGTTAAAGCTAGCTACACAGGCACATAGCAAAATGAACCATAGATGAGTACATCCAAGAACATGAGCAGTTCAACAGGTTCAGATTCGACTAGGAAGTGGACGTAGCAGCCACTATCAGTCTAGTAACAGGATAAGAAAACAAGAAGTATCAGCTAATGAGCATTGAGCAAAGGGGACAACTCGGGTCCAGAGAACATGGCTGCGGCGTTGACTGAAACTTCACCTACCAGCCCTTCCCTCGCAGGCGGACCACATATGTTTCAAAAGCTCAGTGTAGTAGGCTGTAGACGCACATACACGAACCAGTGCAATGACTGACAGCCGAAACGCAAACCTTAGACATCAACATGGACGAGGATTTTGAGCATTTCCTTATCACCCAAATTCCAAAAATGCATGGGTAATTTTTGCTACGCCATGAGGTGCCATCAGGCCAATCAGGCAAATACTGCGTGACGCCGGTAACGTGTGAGTCAAAGGCAATCTTCAGAACCCATTGTTGGGTGCATTCGGCTCATGTTTTAATAAAAATCTGGAACAAAAGCTCTTGCACTTGCTGCTGCTTGGCAATGATTGCCAATCTGCTCAAGATTAATCAAACCAGGATGGCAGAGGCAACCCCGCTTCATAGTCATAGAGTCATAGAGAAGCTTAATGCTTTACTCAGCCTCTGTCACTGCCTGTTACCCGTCACTGTCCTCCCACCCAGAGCTCCATACTACATACGATCCTTTTCCTCCCGCTGCTGTCATTTCTGTGAAGAGTTTGGGTCTCACATCACCGTTCAAGCAACAGTTTAGCTTACAGACAGGATAAGGCATTTTGCCTCACGAGAGCGACCACAGAGTCCGCATGTGGCTGGGACACACTGCCGAAAGATCTCAACTAAGGAAAGTAGCCATTGTTGTTAGTCTATTCTGCAACATGCTTCCTGTGGCCACTTTGTTGTCAGAATGTCGTGCGCCTGTTGCAGCGCAAAAAGAAGATGGTGACGGTTCAAACTCTTCAAGCCATAATCGGCAGCTGACATCGCAAACCCAGATGCACTGGGACACTGGGACCTCTCCTTCTGATCTTGCATGTTTTGTGCAGCTACACTAAACATAAACAAAACTCGCCATCAAGCAGACACTGCATAGACAGAGTCACTGATTCATTTGGTCTTCAGTGTAGGACTAGGAATGTAGGACTTTGGGTCTAGAAGTCTAGCAGGTATGGCTGCTACGCTAGGCCACTAGGCACTGTGACTTAAGTTTCCAATACCTTCAACGGTACAGCGCACAACCTTGGGGGGCAATTCGTCTTGCACAAACTAATCGCTAGTCCCGAGTTACTACGCAATACATTGTAGTCACTACACACTAGATTCACTAGATCCTAGACTCTACACTCTAGACTGTGACTAGACTCCCCCCAAAAAAACACGGCACATACACTCTGCACTGCTACACTGCAATAACAGCAGCACGAAGAATCCAAGAGAGGTCACAGGGTCACAGCTGGAGATCACTGAGATCAGTTGCCTTGGCCCACATTCTGGGCGGCTTGCCATAACCCGCTGCGCAGATCTGAATGACCGATACGCAGCTGGTTGGACGACACAAAAATGTTGAGTCTGGTTACCAGAGCCTTCATGTCAGACACAAGTTGAGCTGACCCTGGATCAGTCTCCATGCGGCTGAACTGCTTCAAAAGCAGGATTTCCATGTACAGGATTCGGGCTTCCCTCGGACCCTCGATCACATCAGGAATTGTCAGCATCAACTTGGCATCCGAAACCTCGAACGTTGAGATGAACTCGGTGGCCTGCTTCGTGACCTGAGGGAAGAATGTAAACGACATTGGACTGCAGGTTGAAAATCAGGCATACGGCTTAGGGCTTAGGGTTTAGGGAGCTTAGGGTGGCGCACGGGGTTAGGGGAGTTCGGGGTCTGGGGCTTGGGCTTTGGACTAGCTGCCGGGAGCCGGGAGCCGGGAGCTGCTAGCTAGCCCCTATATGCCTAGCCCCTATATGCCCTAGACTCCTCAGACCTAAGTTTGCTGGAGAACCAGCTGGCCAAACATCGCAAATAACAGGACCATTACCCATACTAGACTCAACTGTTGGGTTTCTTGGTCTCGGGTTTATACGAAAAGAGTGTGATCTTTGCAGCCAGCTGCTGCCCCTGCTGTTTGTCGAAGCTTTGTACTTACTATGAAGTCTTGGGGTATAAGAAGAAGAGCTGGAAACAACGCAAAAGCCTGCTGAACAAGTTACACATTTGTGTTGAACACTTACATGGGTCTTCTATCTATCTACAAGGGTCCACAATGAGTCAACAAGCACGATGCTGCAGAGCCTCTACTTAGTCTACTTGTAAAACCCATTTTGAAACTGAACCACAGCACAGACCTCAATGAACTCGTCAGTGGACTTTTTCAGGTCCTTGAGGCTGAGGTCAACGATGGTCTTGCTCATGAGTTCGTTCAGGTCCTGGACACTGGCCGTGGGAGGAGCCTGCGCCCGCCAATACTTACCTCCACCCTCCTGGCAGCCCTGGCACGCCTGAACCGCGGCGTCTCCGCAAGCTTGAAGTTGGAGGCACAGGTTCGTGCTGTGCACTTTGACACACTCGTTGAACACATCCTCGTATCCAACGCCTTCACACTTGTGCGCGAGAAAAATCTCAGCAATGTCCAAGTCCACCAAATCTTGCAAGTTCCCCAGGAACTCCTCATTTTTGCCAAAGATTGACATCATCAGCTCCTGGGCACCAAGGACTGCGGCTCTCGCATCCTCCAAATCCTTGAGGTAGGCAGCCCGCTTCTTCTTCTTCTGCTGCTGCACATTCTGCATTGCATTCAGCTCTACATCCTTGGCTAGAATTGCCTTTGCATCTGCGCCCGACTCAGCCAGCCGCTTCAACGCGGCATGCCCAACCGTGCAAATGGACAAGCCCTGGCACTGCACTGAACACAATGTCTTCAACAGCTTGAGGTCTGCCTCACTTCCGAACACAGTCTTGAACAGCAGGATCATGGTGTAGGCTGCGGTCTTGGCATTGGACATGTTGGCCTCCGGCATGATGGCCTGAATGGAGGGCAAACAAATCCACACAACATTGCTGCAACCTGCCAACTGTGTACCTGCTAGGACTGCTAGGGCTGCACAACCACAAAATGTTTGCAACTACAAACCTGGACAAGCGTTCAATTCGTTCATGACTACGCTCGATTCAGAAGACTCTCTAACTATCTGGAATCTGGATCTCATTTACCGGTGACTCTGTCTGTATTACAACAGCATTGGCAAAGCAAGTTCTTTCAGAAGTACCAAATGGTCCACAAGGTTCAGCAAACGTTCATTGATGCTGCAAACATACCGCAATAAACTCCAAACACCAACACCGAGACAAGTTGGAAGCGTTGGCATCCCACTCCTACTCCCGGACCTACCCCTATCAGTCAGTCTACCTGTCTACCTTACCCCAATCGCAAAAATCTAAGATCTAAGTTGTTCAAGTGAGGCAGACGGTGGGATCCATTATCATTAGATCAGTGGCAGAACTGAATCCGGACGGCGCTTTCACAAACAGTCATACAACAGCAGCAAAGCAAAGCAGCGCAAAGCAGAGCAACGCAAAGGCATGGCCGCCGCCATGGGTTCGCTCCATAGGCTAGCAATGGAGCGAACCCGGACAAAAGGTTCCTTCAACACCAACATGATTGCATGAAGATGCACAGCACATGAGGGCTGCTTCCCCTTTTTACTTTGAAAGCCCAAGTCATCTGCGCAATCACACGGAGGCAGTAGAAACACATTACCACTTAGCATGGCAATCACACAGAAGGAATGCCTATGAGCCTATGGGCCTATGAAATGCTTTGTGAATACAACCACCCAGCAGCAGGGCGCCTTGTGGGCGACAGCTTGGCACCCCTTGTCCAAGAAGCGCAGGACGCCCGCAATCAACGCAGGGTTGGCCTTCGCGTTAACAAAGGTCCCTGCCGGGCAATCCTCGAGCATCTGCTTGACTTCATCGAATTTCACGTCTGTGGAGGTTGCGGACTTCAGGAGCTGAAGGAACCTATTGCGACGCAGAACTGTCTGGGCACCTGATGCCCACCTGCCGAACTCCTCCTGTATGGAGGGGGCCCCGGGTAGATGACCAAACATGCTCAGCAGCTTCAAGATGGAGTCCACGCCATCAGCTGCAACCGTTGACAGCTCAGTGGTAGCCTGGAACTTTGCAGCCGTGGTCTTGACTTTCCTGAGGATGGCCTCGCTGTAGCTTTCGAGCTCAACCTCGCGGAGGGACCTGCGGACCTCCTCGAAGAGCATGATCACCTCCTTCAAGTCCAGCGTTGTCCATGGCACGTCTGGATCTCGGATTTGAATCTTCAACTTGGCATTGGCGGACTCAGCCAGTGGCTTGGTAGAAGCTGTTCGAGCAACATCTGCCAGCTGGGCAACCCACCAAGAATTCTGCGTCACGATGCTCTTCATGGTGCGCTCGAACAGGCTAGGACCCTTGTACTCCGAGAACCAAAAAAGATCTGACGACTGAACACCCTCAACTGGCTCGGCGAAAATCACGAGGCAAGCCTTGCAGAAGCGAGTCACTTGACCCCAAGCATGCGAGACTGCACTCACTTCGGTCCGCTGCAGGAAGTCCAGCAACTCTTGTTGGCTACGCTGCAACTCCACGAAGCCACGGGCAAGGCACACGATGAACTCCTTGTGCTCGCTGGGCGCGTCCAAGAGTTTCAGCCACGCTTCGCACAAGAAGATTTCCACCACGGCCTTCTCCAAAGCCTCGCTGCAAGCACCAACACTAACACGGGAAAACCACATGCACCTTTCAGGGATCTTGAGGCCTTACACTTACACATCAATATGACCATCAACAGCAATGACAACTCTGAGCGGAAATGTCACATCGCCAAACGTCACTGAACTCCATATCAGAAGTGGGAGCCAGTAGCAGGCACAATTTAAAGTGAAGTGGAAAGCAGTGGCTACTAGTACTAAACTTTACTAAACTACGCGGGACGCGCGAGCACCTAGCTAGCTAGCCGCGTTACTTGCTAACCTGCCTTCATTGGCGGCTTAGGCTTCAAGTTACAATCCATGAGGGGCCTCTCATGACATGGCATCGCGCGACATCAACTCTAATGGCCCAACAAGTGAAAAGCAAGCAAAGCGTAGCGGCGTAGCACTGACACTGGCCTGCGCACCCTGCTTGTGGCTCGGGTCCTCGGCCTGCTCCCCGTTCAAGCCGCCTTCTGCGTCGAAACCCGCTAGCAAGTGGTCCTCACGAGCCTCCCCCGCCAGGGACAAGAGAAGGTCCAAGGTGTCGCCAAACCTTGCGTTGGAGCCGTTGAACTTCTTCACCTCCAAAGAAGACGGGTAGTCTGTGCGCTGAGTCCACTCAAAGTGCTTCAGGAACTCCTTCAGAGCCGGCTCCCAGCGCTCCCGCCTCTTCTCAGTGCGCACCAAGTCGACGGCCTTCCCGAACGCATCCAAAGCGAACCTCTCTGACAGGGTCACTTGAATGCTCAGCGGGTACTTCGGCCACAGACTTGTAGTGCTCTCAACGCTCGTGTTCAGGGCTTGGGCGGAGATGCTTAGGAGGTTGCTGCTGGACATCACCAGGGCGTGCTCACACAACTTCAACCGCTGCTGCAAGAGGTTGGAGGCCAAGGTCTCATTGTCTGCACGCAACGTCTCCAAGATCCGCTTAGCCTTACACAGACACATGCAGTCACGGTTCACGATGGTTGAGCAGTCTAGCTAGCAGAGTCTAGCAGTCAAGCAAAAACAGGAGAGTCGATTGGTTGGCAGCCCACACTTCCACACGCTTTGCCCCAAGGCCTACCCAATGTCCCGGGGTCAGCCTTGTTGATCTGCCTATATCCACACGTCAAGCTATACTGGAAACATTGAAGTCAGCAGCTAAGGCTCATGAGGCAAACATCGTAACTGCAAACAGTGACTAGTTGACTAGTTACAACTAGTTACTAAAGTTACTAGTTGAAGTTCGTTCGGGATGCCCAGCCACATCACATCTACTTGTTTGCTGACTGTTTGCTGCTGCAAGCAAGCAATTGCACACGTGTTTGGGTCACGGCAGAAGCAACAAGGAAGGGCAGGGCCACACACACACACACACACACACGGGCCATGTCATTCGGCCATGGCCATATCACGCAGACAAAGTACACAAAAGGACGGTCTAGGTCTAGGTCCTCTAGGTCAGGGTGGTAGGGCCGCTAGGCCCGCCAAGGCCAAGGTTGGCATGCCTGATGGGAGCAATAATTCAAGTAAATCATGAACTGAGCTGGAGAAACACAACCACAGGAGAACCCCACTGAGTCTCACCACGCAAGCCCTTCAGCTTCAGGGATTCAACACTATAGCGCGCATCATGCAAAATTGTGGCGCAGGCGCAAGCGGTTTTGCCCTGTCAGCCTTCAAGCTCCTAAAAGTTGTTTAAAAGGCGTGCATTCACAAGTGAACCAAATGAGGACAACTTAGCAAAACCAGGATGTCAGCACGACATGCGGTTGGGTTGAGTTGTGTGGGGCATGAGGCGGCGGGGGCCGGGCAGCGTGGGTGGTTTTCCTGCTATCTGTAATGTAGACTGTAGACTGCTATCGACCTCGCCAAAATAGCCTGGCCCAAGGCCCAACTAGCGTCAATCCAAGTAAGAAGATTGTTGTTGAGCTACACAGCTACTCTATGCAGCTATACTAGCTATACTTCACTACACCAACAACAACTTGCCCATATTGAGCATCTTGGAGGGAAGCTCAATAACGTTAACCTGGCACGTTGGTTGATTCATCGCAAGGGCCATTACTAGGTAGACTTCGTGCACCCTACGTAGAATGAAGAAACCTTTCTGAGCACCCTTCTGCGACAAAATGCTGGGCTGCTTTCTGTGTGGTCCAGAGCTGTTTACTTCTTGCCAGTTTCCTGATACCTCCCTGGCCTGAAACAAAAACACCGAGCACGAGCGCTTTGGTTGCGCGTCATGTAGTAAGAAGTAGTAAGAAGCACAGCCGGAAGTAGCCATGATGCCATGTGTGTCGCAGCTTTTCAAACTTCAGAGGGAATACTGCACTAAACCATTAAAGACAGTGAGAAACAACAAACGAACGCAGAGCCAGTGTAAAGTCTAAAGCTAAACCACGAACCTATGAACTGCGAACGCGAACCACTGAAGATGTGGGCTGAGGGCATGCAACGCATCAGAATCTAGCGCCAGTGCCAGTTAGAGTTGGAGACTTTGGGCTTGACACAGCCAATAACAGCTAGCAGCTAGCATACGGTTGCTATGTGGCTCACCCTCCCTGAGTGGCGGACGCTGGTCAAGGCGATGCTGAGCGAGAGCAGGTAGCGAAGCGGATCGAGGCTCTCGAGGCTCTTCACGCTGCCGGCCGCATGGTTGTTCATGTGACGCTCAGCCACACGCCTCATGTCCTCATCAAGTCTGACAAGGATTGCCTGCTTGGACCTGTTGCCGTTGCCGGCTGTGGATTCAGACCTGTCATCCTCAGCGGTCTCAACTGCGGTCCGCACAAGGCCAGGCTCAGAAGAAGTTCCGCCTGGGGCAGGAGAACTCCCAAGCGTCCCACCTGCTGCTGCGGCTGCTGCCTTAGCTTTGGCTTTCCTAGCAGCTGACTTGGCAGTAGCCTTGGCCAACTGGGGAACCACAATGCCAAAAGCTCGGCTCTTGGGGGCGGCTACGGGCGCAGCAGAGCCTGAGCCATCCTCAGCATCAGGATCCTCATCTGCCGGTGGGGGCGGGGCAGATGCTCTATTGGCCTCAGCTTGCACAGCTGCCTGCCGGTGCTTCACACGGAGCTCCTCCAACGTCATGATCTGCGCTGCAGGCCTGACTTTCTCAGGGCGGGTCTGAAAGGCAGCCTGCGCAACGTGTTGGAAAACACGAGCTCCTTGGGACTGGTGCAACTGCTTGTCCCGAGACAAATAGCACTCGTTGTGTTGCGTCTGAGAGGTGTAATACATCTCCAGCTTCTTACATGAGGCAATCGTCTCAGGGGGCAGACCACGCATGTCCATCATGTAGAAATTGTTGGACAGGCCTGGACCTAAGAAGGGCAGCGAGGTTGGCTTCAGTTTGATGGCAGCAGGTGTTGAGTCCAAAAGGGCCGTGCACTCACTTTCTGTCAGTAGCGCATACGGCTGAGTGACCCGAAAGCCGTATGATGCCGTTCAGCACATCCGAGCTTGGCATGAAACCGCTGAAGTCTGAATCCTCCTTGTCCACGTCGAGGGCGAACGTCATCTCCTCCTTGAACGTTGGGTCCTCCAAGCAGCCAGGCCCTGCACGAAAGCGAGTAACCATGGCCTTCGCACCCTGCACACCTTCGGAAGCCAACTCAGGCCGCAGGCGGCCACCTTTGTCGGCGCAAGCCCAACAACACTCCACTGTGGGTTTGCCACGTGCATCCACTTCAACGAAGTCCACCTCCTCGGCACAAGTAAGAATATCATGATGTTCTGGGTTCTAGACTGCCTGGGAACAGGGGCAAGAGTTGTAAACGTGTTTGGGCGCGTGGCGGGGACAGGTTCCTGGATGGGTGTCATGGGCCATGGGCTGTTGGGATTTGCAGAACTTCTGGTCCTGCCTGGGAACTGCATGAAACCGTGTATTTCAATCAATTTAGTCTACTTGGTCTCGTTTCCAACCTCTAGCGAATCTAGTGAAATCTAGTGTCTACTCTAGTTGGTCAGCGTCAGCTAGTCTGGCTTCCAACCACACATGGAGGGCAATGTCCAAAACAAGTCTACGGCTAGCGGCTATTGAGTCTGACGGATCGAAGCACACTCAGTAGGTTGCACATGGTACTGTGCACTCCACACACGGCACACCACGCAGTCCAAGGTCGAAATCAGCAGATTCCAACACAAGTCAAGCAAGCACCAGCACCAGCAACCAGCACAGTCAGAGGTTTGGCCAGTGTATCTGGGTCATTCAGCTACACTAGTACAGATACGCGGGGGTCCGAATCAAGTAACATTAGCACGCTACATGACTAAATGAGACATACGACACGGTGTATACGTCGTGGAGCCGGCGCTCAGTGGGGACTATTGCCTGTTCGAACAGCTCTCCAGCAATGTCATCAACAAGTTGCTTCTACCTCAGAAAGTGCACTCCTGCCAGCACTGACACGGATTAACAGAATGATTCACGACATGCGCCAAGACTCGTCTGAGCTGGCCTGGCAGATCCCACACCTCCTTGCTGAAGACGAAGCGGCTTGGGAGGAGCGATCAGGCTGCACCGGCTGTGAAGGGGTGCATTTGCCTCGCGCTCTTCGACCTCCCTCAGCCGTGACGAGCTGGGCCTCCTGCAACATGACAAGCTGGAAACGCATATGCAGCTGGTTAGTAAGGACGCTGACTCAAGATTTACACGACTTATGACATGAAGCGGTGCTTGCCACAAGTCTAAGCGGCTCAAGCAGACCAACAGATTCGGAACACAGCGAATGAGCCTGTGGGCGCAGTGACAGTGCAGATTCCAGCCTAACTCACAACTAAAAGCCTACACTCTAAATCCTGAGCTCTACCCCTCAACCAACAATACAACACAGGCCACCGCCAGCCAGTTCGTAAGCATGAGATTTCAATGATTACAACATTTCAGGCGGTCCTCTGGCTTGCGCTTTGCCATCACGTCCAGGGCTTTGGTTAAGCACAAACCAAGCCAAGAGTGGCCTGTGACTGACTATGGCTAGCAAACTAGCAGCCAAACTCAACTCAACTCAAATGAGCCTATGAGCCAAACAACAACGTTCATGGTCATCAACATTCCGCGCCTGACGCAGGCTGCAACCCGTGCAATTGACTCTTGTCCCTGGGCTGTCGGCTATCGCAATTGAAGAGCAGCCTAACTCATGGGCAAAAATGAGGAACACCTCCATGCATCAGGAGTCTTGAGCACCTCTCGACATGTTTTCTGCATTGCACATCACAGGTCATTGTTCGAATTGTAAATGAGTCATTGTAAAGCCCAACTCGCCCAGGCCCTAGCTAGCCGGCCCAGGACAGGAGCAGGCACCAGAACTTTCTCGCCGGCAGGCAGCAAAGGGGCAGCCTCGTGATGCACGTCATGTTCTTGAAATAAATGGCCACACAGTCAGCCATCCCCAAAACTCCTAGAAGCGTGAGACTGCAGGCTGCCTTCCTTGTAGCCGGCCACGACAAGTCAAAGAAACTGTGGAATCATCAGGGCACAAGTGCACTATGCCAGTGCGCGATCATTATGTTGGCTGCAGAATGCTGAATACGGATCCTGTAACCCTGCAGCATAGGACTGCGCACTAACAATGTGAAACAGGATCTACGACGACACACATCTTGTCGGCTTGCTGCCTGAAGATCATAAACTTTTCTAGGTCAGAAATGAGTAAAACATCTTACTGACGCTTGCCCATGAAAGGAAGTGGAACACTTGTGAGCGCCTTCGAGTCTGCGGGATCTATGGCTACCAAACTCACTAGGTCGCTAGTTACTACGGCAGCTCAGCACTTAGGCCTGTCGCCCCGCAAATTTACCAGACTACCAAACACCAACAAGTTGACCTGGACCCTGGACGCAGCCTGCAGCCTTCCCACGTCAAACCGACTAAGCCAAACAACAACAAAGTGACTGTGAGATTGAGGTTGTTATTTGCGCTACTCGCCCTCCTGCGAATCAGAGCGGGTATGCTGGCATGCCCAAAGCGGCAAAGCTACAACACTATCGGGTACCCATGCCCACCACCTAACTTTTCGTTACACCCCACACGCTACTGAACTCACGCATATGGGCAAACCAATTGAAGTTTAAGCAACACAAACATACAGCACGCCAGTAAAGTGTGACACAGCGAAGACTGTGGATCCCATGTCCCAGTGGCCACACCACCTGCGAAAAAAAAAAAAAAAAACTAGACTAGAAATGAGTAGACTAAAATCACTACGGCCTCACTATAGCCGATAGCCGCTTTATACTTTTATACAGTTCACCCTGCACAAATTTTGCTAGCAACGGAATTTATGCATTTATGCTGCCCAGCAGCGAAGTACCCAGCCTCCATACTCCACACCAGCTCTAATTCCAACCAAATCCAAAAGTATAGGCGCACACAAGCCGTAGCCGTCGCCGTAGGGCCTAGGCCTAGCACTTAGGACCCAGGAGCAACTACAATACTTATACATAGATCCTAGTCCACGCTACCTGCCAGCTGGTAGCTGCTAGTATGCGTTATGGCTGCATAGAATAGAATTATAAATCCCTCCAGGCTTGCAAGCAACTCTGTGAAGTGAAAAAAACACATTCCTGAAGCATGTCAGGGTTTAAAGTGCTTCCTGCTCAATGACTGCCGCATGTCAAGCAGAAGTGGTATGGTAATGGGCACGAGTCCCATTCACAGGTCCAGGGAACCGAGGAAATGCACAAGAGGTCTGCAACTATCTATGGGTTTAGGTTTGGCCAAATTTGGACTTTCTGGACACACGACTGCAGAGAATTGCGAAATTCCCCAGGCCCCAGCCTCATGCATGGCCCTCATATCACCCGTCTGCACACAATGGCTCCAGTCACGAGCTTCACCCAAAAAACTTGGATTTGCTTGGCCCACGCCTCGTTGCTTCCTGACTGACCCTACCCGGCTCTAGGTACCCAATTGCCCGAACGATGCTGCTGCAAATATGTGATTAAGCAACCAAAATGTAGGCCATCAAGGTGGAATTTGGGGCAACTTTAGAATGGGCCTACAGTCCTCATGTTCTAGGCTGTTCCCCTGCACACGCAAACAAGGGCATGGGCTCGAGGCAAAACAACTGCCAGCCTGCAACAACCTGCAAGCTGCAAACAAAGCGCATCAGGAACTGTAACTGTTCTGAAGCCTGCCATCCTGCACGGCAAGGTGCCTGATGCTACTCTGTCTCCCATTGCAGCCACTGCATCCATTGGCCTGTAAAGCAAGGAGCAGCGGGAACTGAGAGTCTGACGTGAGTTGCTGCTGGCTAGCTGCTAGCTGCTGGCACAAGCTGTTTGCTGTTGGCTTGAGCTCATCTAAATCTAAACTAAACTTCCTAAACTACCTGCTTATCCAGAGAAGCATATCCTGCATGTCCATATACATTACAACATATCCTATAGGCTTCTACGCCCTTGACTCTAGACTCTAGACCCCACTTGACTCAAACTGGGGGGGCACGCGCATATATCTTGCATGCCTTTGTTGCTGTCACACAAACCCTCCGGTCCGTCTTCAGCCTCTCAGCTCAGCTCAGCTCAAACACACAAGCTGTCGGTGTGATGCAATGCATAAAAGATCAGACCCAAACACGGTAAGCAAATCCCTTCACCCGACAAGCTCTTGATTGCAGACTGCGGCATACTAGGGGGAAACTTCGTCTCTAGCGAATGCCCCTGCCACAGCATCTGCTCCAGAGGGAGTATGATGCGATCTCTTGCGTGCCCATAGACAAAGCTCGACGTTGTCAAACACTTGGACACACCAGTGGCACGACATGTGTATGCCTTTCTACTCGGATTCTGCGACACATCAGTGTACAAATCTAAGCATGACTCACGGAGTCGCTGCTTGACATCAAGTGTGGAGCTGCTACCCTGAAAGATCTCCTTGTCAGCATAATGGATGACTGCCAAATCCAGCACTTCAAGTAGGCGGGGATTCTGGCCAAGCCCTTGCAGTTGAAACCCTGCCGACGTCCACGGCTTCAACTGCTGAAATGAATCTCCCAAGTTCTGCCGCAGCTTCAGAGATTGCACCTTCCACATCGGCAATCCTCGAACTGGTGTAGGCACAGGCGCCTGCACTGCTTTATTAGCTTTGCAATTTCAAAAGTGTCTTTGGAAGCTTTGAAAGGAATAGTTGGGGCGCTTGGGGCCGGGGTCTGTATGTTGAGAGTTGAGGGAGTCTTAAAAGTGAAGAGTGAAACAGGATCCTGATGCCAAACCCATGCTTGCACCCCCAATTATCAAGACAAAAAATCAAAATGCGCATTGCTGTAAGGGGGCGATTGGGGGTGGGGCAGGGTGGAGTTGTCATGGGCCGCAGCCCTACTCCCAAGGCCTTCCAGGGCCTCTCCCAGGACCTCTCCCAGGGCTGGAGGCTGCCTTTTCAGGGAAAACACTGCATACCCACCACGTCTTATTGTCATCCCCCAGACTTGCTGGGTCTGTCAGGGCCTCTCAGGCCTCCCAGGGTCCCAGGGCCCAGCCTCCCAGCAGCTCCCACTGTTTTGAAGGAGGGAGGGGGGTGGCTGGTAGGTGCAAAATATTTGCAAAATATTTGCAAAATATTTGCGAAATTTGGCATTCCAGGGACCCATATTTGCAAAATATTTGCAAAATATTTGCAAAAAACTCGAGTTTTTTGCAAATATTTCGCAAATATTTCGCAAATAGGCCTCTTTCCTGCATCCTGGGACCTGGCTGGAGAGGTCCTGAAAATTTTGCAAATATTTTGCAGCTTCTTTGCATCTCAAATTTGGGTTGCAAATATTTTGCAAATATTTCGCGTCTCAGGAGATGCGGCAATACAAACCTCTAGGCCTCAAGGCCTACCTGGACCCAGCAGCCAGCATTTCCTTGGACCTGCTGCCTGCTGCAAAACAATTAACTACATGAGGCAAAACCTTACCATGCTTCCAGTAGCGCCATGTCAACATGTGCACCTTGATTGCTTACTTCCGAAACAGCTGCTTCTTGAAGCTTTTCTGGTGAGCACCCTATCAGCCCTAGCAGCAGCACGACCCCTGCCTGCGCTCGCACCACCTTCTGACTCAGCATCTGGGACCAGTGCTCATGGAACACAGGGCTGGATTCCTCGAGCAAGAACTCTGCCAAGCTCCGCGGTGTGTGGTTCTGCTGGATCCAGCCAGACAATGCCTGGCAGGTAATAACATGATCTCTTAGAAATGTACATCGCCAATGACGTGTAGCTAGTGACTGAATAGTGCTGTCGCACGGCAAGGGCATGCAATCACTGCTCACCACACTTCGGTACACACACCATCTGAAACAGCACATCCGTGTTTGCACAGCACAACATTGCTAGCATCTCACACTCAATCGCACTGCTGGACCTAAGCCTAAGCAAAAGTACTGCAGGCCTCAAAACTGAGACACAGTAGGCATGTCTCTGGCAAGCAATTTGCCACAAGAACTGGCACAAACTTGTCAACAGATCAGGCTGAGGTCCTACAACACAAGCACGATTTATTCTAGCAATTCTAACAGCTAACAGATTCTAGAGCACGTACCGTTGCATATACACTAAGGTCTCTAAAGCGCACACACACACAAAAGCTGCAGCTGCAGTACTACTGTTCTACTTCATTGCATGTCGCAATTTTCACAGAATACACCAGGTGGCTACGCCGACCATGTATCGAATGAGCATCCTCACAACTGACGGATCGGCCTACGAATAGTGAACAATGACAGCCCTGCTAAAGGTCTCGAGTCATGAAACTGATTTGCAGATTAAGAGTTGGCAGCCTGAAACACAATAGGAGCACGCACATGAGCCTGGACCTCACCTGGTCACCTAACGACCTAATGAATCGAGGCACTGAAGTCCAAGCTTGCAAGGCAAGGCCAGGCCAGGGCAACAAGCAGAAGCTGACTCAGAACTCAGCCCGGCACCTCAACCATAGTCTTGAACCGTTTAACATGCTCCTTGCTGAACTTGTCCTTGCGGAACAGCACCAGGAAGCACCTGCAAGAGATGGTTCACAGTTAATGGTTTCTGATTGCAAATGTGGACGTTGGAGCGGCCATTTGGAATCTTGAAGCTGTCCCTGGAAAGTTGGCGGTTCTACTGCCCTATAATCCAGTATAGACTCTAGGGTCAGGACTGTTTGGGTGGGGTAGGGCTAGGGCCAGGGCCAGGGAGACGCTTGGGGGCACAATTTCCATACACCTGCAGAACTTGTCTTAGAACGATTGGGGAAGGCCTGAAGAAAATCTCTCTACAGGGTCCTCACGTTTTGTACCCTCTCCACAGGTCAGAAGCTACTAGGCTTCGAAGGCTGCCCAAAGATCTGGCTTGGATGGCAAATATCCTAAATCGCAGATTTATTGGCTCAACCGGCTCAACCCTTCCCCCTAGCAATCGTACGTTTGAACCTAGGAAGAGTTGCTGCGATCTGGAATCTGGAACCTTTTCAAACTTTTGAGGTCTTGCTGGCCATGCGCTCCAACAACCTGCAACACTGCAACAGCGGCTCAACAGCATCAAGAGATCAAGCAGCAATGGCACCCCATTCGCTACTATCTTGCCCTGAATCCTGAAAGACCCAAGATCTGACCCAACCCAATCACAAAGAGATCCAACTTTGGGTCTTCGTGCAGAGCACACGAATCCTGTTCAGCGCGTGCGAGGCTAGCTAGGGCGTCCTGCAGCACACCAGCTTATACTCGAGATTCCGCTCTTGGAAATTGCATATGTTAGTACACGCGCTCTACGTGCCCTACGGTACTGGGAAAAGCTGGCTTGCTGTGGGTGCCCTAGCGAATCTTTGGAGGCTCGGGCGGCTCTCCGTCCCTTTGTTCACACTCAACCCTTTGACTGAAGGCTGCAGCACCCTCTTGCTCCAGGAACTGCGCCCTGGCCTCTGTGCGTGCAGCTTGTGTGTGCCGGAAATTTCTCAGATGCTCTTGTTGAGTAGCAAATTCGGAATGCGCTCGCAGCCAACAAGTCAACAAGCCAATCGGTCTGCCCTGCCCGCCAAAAACACCTGAGGTTGAACCTGAGCGGTGGCCACGGCAGATGCGCTCCATTTTGCAATCCTGATGAGATCTGTTGCCACAAAGTGCCACAAGCGCCTTTGTGGTCTTGTAAAACCGAAGAATGCCATAATCTCCTAGCTGAAAATCCAACCTTTCCTGCAGCACTCTAGGGCCAGCTGCAGAAGCAGGTCCCGAAGAAGCTGATGGGGCTGATGGGGCTTCGCCAGCCCCAGCCCTGACTCTGGGCACAGCAAGACTTTGGGGCTCATCCTCAGTCTGGCCCCTTTCCTCTAAGAAGATGCCGGGTCTACTGAGTCTACTGGGGCCGGCTGCCATCGCAACCACACGCTCTTCAACATCAGCCTCCAGGCCCAAACTCTTCGCGCCCAAGTCTGCCTCATCCTCCTCGTCCTCAATCAAGGGGTCCAATGACAAGTGCGACCCACTGCCAGCAGAGAAGTTGGACGCATTTTCCCAGAGGTCTGCTACTTCAGCTGTGGCAGCTGCAATTTGCACATGCGCAGCCTCTGCAGCAGCCTCATCAGCATCAAGTAGCACGTTTGGACCTAGGCTTGCATCCTCATCGTCCGCTTCAGCGTATGGGTTAAGCGCATCCACATGTATGCCGCCCAACTCATCCGACCCAGCATCCGCAGGATCTGCAGGTCTGTCGTCGAAAGCTTTGTCCGACTGCTTCCCTCTCACCCGTCGACGTTTGCAGGCCTCGCCCTGCGCAGCAGCTGGTGGCCTGCGCTTTGTCTGATTCTTCTGAGCCGGCACCCTGTTGGCTTTCTCTTCTTTACTGCCCAGCCACACCCTGCAAGGAGGAACTTCATCTTCAGGCCATGGGACCAACGGCACCACTGCAGATGAGGAATCCATGCGATGCCAAAACCGTTCAGCAACACTGACAGTATAAAGCTGCACTTCCCAAGGCAAAGTCAAGTCCAACACATCTCGGTAAAACTGCAAGTCCGTCAAGACACCCAATGTAGGACCAGCAGAGTCAGGAGGCAAAGGGCCAACCTGTAGAGCACCTGTCTCCTCGCAAAGGTCGCTTGGCAAGCCAAGCAAGGCAAGGTCTGAATACAACCTGAGAACTACGAAATGCCATGTTGTGTAGTTGATGTGGCCAATGTGAACAAAATGCTGAAGCGGCGGCGAATGTGCCATCCCTGATTCATCATGTCGCTGATCCGGACGCACAGCTCTGAAAGCAAGAACAACAGTTTGGTTCTCAAGCTGCCTCCGCATCTCTGAAGGCACCTTCTCCTTTTTCCAGAAAGTGGCTTGCTGCCAGGCTCGAAGCTTCAAAGCAAAATGCAAAGCGTCAGGGCAGGAATGGTCGGAGCTGCCACATATGCAAACACCAAACACGAAGCAGCGCTGCGGCCTAAACACACCTGGCACATTCCTGATGGGAAGTTGCTCTGCGTGAAAATGAATCCTGCAGCGGTGTCTCAATTTGGCGTACAGCAAAGAATTCAGCGAAAACTTTCGTCGAACGTTCAATTGCTTCTGGCTGAAAATCTCCTTAGCTCAAATCTGGAATTCAGGGAATGGGCAAAAATGTCAAATGGGGGGAATGCGTCCAGAATGGCTTACGACTTTACATTGTTAGCAGCACAAGCTCAGGACTGAAGGGCACGTTGCAATGCATTGCCGGGCAGCTACACTGGAACTTTATACAACCATTACACGGTAAATCCCATAACATCTTGAAAGAAAGCATGCTCTGAAATCCAATGTACAAACAGCTTTGATAGCACAGCTACACTGTTGCGCAAACGGTGCACACCGGAGTCACTTCAGTCACAGGCATGCGGAGGAACCCTCCAGGAATATCCGGATATCCCTACCCTACTAACCCTTCTAATTTGAAAGTGTATGAGCACTCAGCATATCCCACCTACAACCACTATAGTGAGCCATGCTGAATCTCTAAGACTCTAAGCACACACAAAAAGCACAGAAGTTGGTAAGGTAATTGGTGCCATTGCAGAACCCAAGACCTAGCAACAACTGTAGAATGAAACGGTGAAAGACACGCCCGACATTAATATGGGCTAGCGGCAAGAGGCTAGCAGCTAGCACCCATGAAAATAAAATAACCGCTGACCTCTACCCACTCACCTGGAGGCACACGAAAAACTGACAGAGACCCAGCAGCTGTTACAATCTTCTCGACAGGCGGGCACCACGAGTAAGGAGTTGTTGTTGACGACGGAGCAGGAGGGATCTTTGTCACTGAAACCGCCAGGTCTGAGTATCCATCACGCTCCCACTGCACAGCAGGCATAAATGGCGGCGCCTCTGCTTCAAACCGAGCAAGCGCAACCTGTTCTTCACGCGTGGGCACGAAGGAATGAGCATTCGCTTTAGCCTTTAACTGCTTCGCGACCTCTTCCTTATACCTGCCAAACTTTTCTGCAAGGGTATCACCTGAGAAGTCTGCCACTGCCAGCAGGTCGGCATCCATGTCTGCAGCCACCATGGCACCGTTGGCAGCCTCCTGTCCAGGAAGTTCCATCTCAGGCCCCGCAACAGACCTCACACGAGGAAACGACGGCAAACCCATCTTGTGCGCCCTTGTTGCAGCTTGCCCAGACTCCTCATACACACGTCGCTCCTCATCGGACAGGTCCTTGTATGCTGCCGCCATCTCAGCGGCCAGCTCGGGCGTGAGTTTGCGGCCGCGCAGATACACGTGCGCGAACGCCCGCCATGGCCCGCCACCCCCGCGCTTCTTTTTCTTCACTGGCTTCTCGGTCTTCTTCTTGTCGTGAGCCTTGCCCAGTACACGCAGGCGCTGTTGCAGTATGAAGCGGCTACATATGCTTTCCAAGGAGGACGTCCACCCTCGACTCCTCAAGTTCGCAAATTCGCGAGCTGTCGAGTGACCAGCCTCTATGTTTGCAACATCCACACTGATGATTTCAGCTAATCCTTCCAGCACTGCCAAGCCCTCTGCTTCCCTCAACTGCCGCTCATACCGTGTCATGAGCACGTGGCTCAGCTCATCTCTCATGCAAACTGGGTGCTGCAACAAAGAATCCAGTAACCCTGGGGAAGCATCAGACAGCAACCTGAAGAGTTGGTACGGCAACCCCTCCCGGGGAACTCGCAAGTACGAATGCAAAGCGCAGACACCGGCAGCCACCATAGCAAACCTTTGCAACCGATGACAACAATCCAGTGTATCCTTCTTGGCAGAACTGACTGGCGTGAGGACTATGGATAACAACGACTTCATGCACAAGTTGACATCTTCACATTTGGCGGCTTCCAAGATGCGCCAGGATCGTGGCTGACCATTCGCCGCAAGCGCCTGCTGCTTCTTGCTCCACGCATGGCCTGAAATACCCAGAAAGCGAGCCATAAGCTTGTGGATGGGGCCTAGCACTTCGCACTCCACTGCCAACCTATCATACGGGTTGGACCTGGCGTAGGCTCCAGCTGACCGCCGGCGTCTAGCATTCTCCTCGGCATAAGCATCTGCAGCAGCAGCTTCAGGGTCGCCTGGGCATGTGTAAGACCAAACTCAGCATTTGATGTCTGATTCTGTTGCGGCAACAGGGGGTGATGGGTCCTGGACCTTCGTGGGGGAAACCCTAGGCCTGGGCTTGGCAGTCACCTCCTGATTCTCTACATCGTGGCAAACTGCAAGCATCATGAAGATATTAACAAAGGCTCCTGGTCCTACACTCGAGTCACACTAGCCTGCTACACTATAGCTCTTGGGCCAGAATTATACTTTGCTAAGCGAACTGAAACGTGATGGGACCCTCATTACTCATCAGTAGGCTGGTGAGACTTCTACAACAATATCATGGAAGGCAGCATGCGCGACACCCTCTGGGCCTGAGTTCATCTGTACTACAGACCCTGTATTGACATATTGTTTGGCCTCAAAACCTTGCCTACGGCCTCCTACAAGGCGCAAGAAGTAGACTCTGCAGCTAAACTATTGCATAGCATGCTTCAAGCCTAGGGCATGAACAGCCAATGAGGCAATCGGGCAGCGCAGAGTCGAGTCTAGGCCCTCAGCGTTTAGGCAGAAACCAAAAGGTCTGGCACTCCGCCCTTGTTAACATGTTTGTATGCTGCGCACAACGTTGAGGCTATCACCCCAATGCCCTTCACACGCATGACCATGCGTTGCAAATCATTCAGGCCGGCAGAAAACTCCCCAATCATGTTTCACATGATTGCATAACTCAGTATTGAAACTGCGGTCATTTGCAAAAACACACCCACCCTACATTCCTACGGCTGTACTTCACGCGCACGAGGCGAAGCCTTAAATTGCCAGGATGAGCCCACGCGGCAGCTGCGCCGCGAGTCTACTAAAGTCTAGTCTAGTCGAGTCTGGCAGGGCCCCACCTACCAACCTATTTACCCAAGATCCTACTACCAAGTCCTAGCTCCTAGACCCTAGGCCTAGGCCCTAGCTGCCCTGCATGGGACATAGCAGTCATAAAATGGCTAGAATAGAACACATGACAATGGGAATCTGCGTGGCCTACCCGAACGATACCAATTTCCCAGACAAGACAACGACACAAAAACCCACGATGTCCAATAGTCACAACAAGTTCCAGCCGCGCCTTCGTTGCGTGGAGCTCCTTGAACATCAACAGGTCTCTCAGGCGCAACAAGTTGGGGGTCTTCTGCAGCTGCGCCATCCACCTGATCCACTTGAACCTGGGCACGGCCAGCTGAGACCTCATCCTGCAGGACAGCCAGCCACTCATCACGCTGCGGGTGCTGAGTGGTCACAGGAGCTGAGGGCTTGCCAAAAAATCTGGCCAGCAACTTTGCAAATAGGCAATGATGCGATTCTAGGAGTGCAACCCAGTGAAGGTTACCCAATTGCCCTATCCACGACTTGCGACAAAGCACGGGGCAAGCAAAAGGGATGAGCGCCCATGTTAAGAAGAGGGCTGCGTTGCAGAGGGACTCCTCGGCATTTTGGCAGCAACCTCGCAGACAAAAATGTTGAATCTTTTCCTTGTTGATGTGCCCGTTTAGCACCGCTGCCAGAATGTAGCGGCGCTTGAGATTGATTTTTTCTAGAGGTCTGAGCACATCCGTGACTGGAAGATACGCATCAAAGACGCGCCTGCGGTATTCCTTGCAGGCTTGCGGCGGCTCGCACTGAACCACATCCATCTCAGCAAAGAATATCGAGGTCAGGGCGTCCCTCAATTTCTTGACAGATCCCAACTCTGAGAGGGCAAGCGAAGAATTTAACAGCCCCGACATATCATTCTTGCAGGCATCCATCTTCAGCATGTTCTTAATGGCATTGGAGCATCTGTGGATGTCGCAGGCGAGGTGCGTTGAAACGAAAGATGGGTACGCCCCTCGAATGCCTTCTTCGGTTCAAGCATTTGCCCCGTATTTGTCTGTTGTCACTGTACGGATCTGCAGCGGAAAGTCTTGAGAAAGGCGCTGAAGTTCTGGGACCACAGCAAGGTTTTCTAATACACAGCTCAGTTGGGCCTCGCCAGTGGAACGGTCCATGGCCTGCAAGGCACATGGGACAGTTCCTGTCAGCCAAAGATGCTTCTTGTCTCCATCCGGACTCATTGTTTGGTACAGGAAGCCCAGCTGGATCTCAGTTTGCAATACTTTTGCATGAGTGGCACTCTGAGGTGCAACCTTGGGAGCCACACTGAGAAGCTGCAGAAACCTTTGTAAATGCTGCCCAGAACTTGCAGCCCTTGGCACCAAAATGTGCTGGCCATGTGTGTTGAGTAAATTTGAATCTGTGCTGTCAGCATCCAACGAGGCCACACGAACTTTCGTGGGCGTTTCGTCGAACTTGATATTGACACAAAACATCAGCGGCTTCATTCCGGCTGTTGCCCTTTGCACTCGGCTTAGGGAAGTCAACATGACGCTCCACAGCAAACCTGCCCCTTCCAGGGTTGCTGAGCCTGCGGCAAGCAAGGTGTTTTGCACGACGCTGCGTGTGGAACCTGTCACTTTGGCAACAGAACTGGAGGAGCACGTCAAGACGTCTCCTTCCAGTATGTGGGCAACGACTGTGTCTTGCGGGACATCCTGCACACCGGTGGTCTGCTTCAACTTGGACAACAGCCCCCAAACTGCTAAGACAGCTGATCCAAAAGTCCTCTGAACCGCAGAACCCAACTCTGTCAAAAGAGATTTGGGGCCGCAGGGCATGACGATGTCTTCGCTGTTTGCGCGTGAAGGGCTGAAGGTATGACTAGCGCTGGACCTTCTCATGGCTCTCACCAGCTGCATGTTGGCAGAACCACCCCTGCCACCACCAGCCTCAGCAGCCTCAGAACCATCCTGTGAATCTGGACCCTGCAGACTATGACTATGATCATTATGCACGGACTTTGTAACACCACGCGGTCGCCCTCGACCACGTTTCAAAGGATTCAAGCCGACTCTGGGTTCGGGCTCCACAGCAGCTGTGGAAGTGTTGTCACTGGACCCCTGACAAACCGGCACATCCTGGGCATGAGCAAGCTCTGCTCTCAAAACATCATCCCAGTCGTCAGACATGGCTGAGGATCACCAACATCTTGTTGAAGCCCTAGGACCTAGTTACCTAGCATCAGGCAGGTTGTTGTACGGCACGGTTGTTGTACCCTCACACATCCATCTATAATCTATAGCAGCTATAGCAACACTATGCCACGTCAGCCTGCCAGGCCAAGGCACCCAAATAAGTGGCAAGAGTAGAGGTAATCACTGCGCCTAGACTTAGACTTAGACACGCTGTACCTTGTAAGGCTCTGTGATGTTCACATTGCATGTCGGGCCCAGACTCTGCCCAGACACCCAAGTTCATGAAATATGCAACTCTTCTCAGCGGGCTTGAGGCTTGGGTTGAAGTTCAGCTGACGTTTGCTGGCCCCATTACGTCTTGCGTGATGGCATTATCTAGTGGGACCTAGTGTGTTTTACAATTTCGCAGGGACATGGTGAACTGAGTTGCAAGTTGCAACCATGAGTATGGTCAAGAGCAACTACAATCTACAAACCACGGCTAGGGCAGGGACAGGGCGGCTAAGGGGTAGCGGCGGATTGCACTCAAATGAAGCCTGTCCCTCTGGTCTGAGGAAGCTGACAACTCATGAGTTTTAGGACCCAGCGTGACGCAATAATGACAAGGCCCAACTCCAAACACCCAAACTCTGGCTCCGGTCCTGAAATGCTGAAGGTCGCACAGATCTCTGCTTAAGGCTTAAGGAGTTTTGGGGGCACAAACTACAAACATGCTCCTGCCCTGCTGCATGTGTTTGTCAAGTACGAAATGAAGCTTGGAGGGAATCAGTATGGCCTGGGCAAATAGCACAGTACGTGTTGGACACATAGGATGGGAGCGGAAAGGATGCGACCCAGGACCTAGGATGCATACGAAAAATTAAGCCCAGAGTACTAAGGCAACGCCGGATGGTCGGTACTGCGCCGATAGCTCAGAAGATGTACAGGGGGGGCCCAAGTTGTCCCTCAAACCTTGCAAGACACCTATCCCAAAGCAGAATGCAAAAGGACCCGCCCTGCACCTGTAACGCCTGCATGGTCCATGGTCACCCAGTACCTACGTGCCTGTAGCACCCAGGATATAGGGCCTGGTGAGGAATTTGGGACTGTAGGACTTTTAGGCATCGAACACAAGTGCGCAACATCCCCAACGGCAGAAAGTACACCAAATCTATTGAGGCTACCTACCTGGACCTACCCTACCCAAACCTATCAGCCTCGCTGGCCCCCACTACCAGACAATGGCGCCTCGGTCTGGAAATGCGAAGCCAAATCTTCGCATCCAGGGCAAGCTTGACCACGTAGTAGCCGCCGTGCTGCAGCGGGGCTGCAGCAAAGAGCTGAAGAAACCTGCGATCAGGTAGCCTACCTATAGACCTGCAGTGCTGCCAGTGGGAAGTTTGCTTCACATGACTCACTCGCTATCTGCCATGTTTAAACCGTCTGGAGTCCGAAATGTTCACGCGCAACTCAGCAACACTCAACCATTAACCACACGCTTGCCAAAGGATACACTGCTCACTAATACTACAGGCTGTGAGCTTCTGCAGGCTGCCAGAATGATATTCAGTCCTCTACGCTGCTGCTACACACTACAACTGCAACTTCAGCTGCGAGAAGCGTGGCATCACACAAGCAAAGACCCTGGCTGGCCCCGGCCTCTGGTATGGCGTCTCATCAGTTGTAGTGTCCAAGGGATAAGTGAATCCCATGACTTGTTCAAGGACCCCAACATGGGGTCCATATTTGCAGTACATGTCGATCACCGAAGACATTGTTATGCGGTAGGCAACATGATCCTTGACTGCACCACATTGAAAGCGCTTCGCCCTTTGAACAGAAAAAGGGTCGCAGGGTGACCCTGTCACCATGATATCTGCCTGAAACTGAACCTGACGGCTGAAGTCCTCACACGATGTCCCATTCTTGGCACATATCACACATGGACCCGTGGGCTTCAACTGCTTCTCAACTGTCTCATGTAGATGCTTGAAGTGCTCAGAATGATTGGCAAGAATAAACTTCTGGTACTCAGTGTTGCTCTCGGACGCAGACAGGATATCAAAGTCGATACGGAGGCCCTGCCAAGCAAGTGTGAGGTACACTGACGGAATATAGAAATATACTAATTTAGTAACTTAGTAGGCAGGCAGGTCCAGGTAAGTAGGTAGGTGGCAAAATCAAGGAATCAAACTCATAGCAGTCATAGCAAGTTGGGGTTTCATGCGACCTCCAGTATGGCTCAGCTGGATTACCTTGAGGCCTTTCAGTATTCTTAAGGAATGAAAGCCGGCCGGCTCCTCATCTTGTAGACGGGGAAGACGGGAAGAAGTCACTACACTACACACTGCTATGACTGACAACTGAGCAACAGCGATCTTGGAGACAGCGGGGGATTCCGAAGTCATCTGCATGGACTATGTGACTATGTTTACTTGGAGGGTCCATGGCGCTTAGATTACAAGTATCTGGGGGTCTTGAAAAATCATAGCAGACTTCATAGGCCAAGCCAGGATGCGTTTATCAAGTCTGACGAGCCTGCGCGTATTTGGAGGGTCAGGCGCACTTAGCAAGTAGGTTAACAACCGCCATAATATAAACCATATTAGTAGCCCTTCTCATTATTATCCCATTCACTAAGTCCACTTGACCCTGAACTCTGAATCTGATAATGTCTCCATTTTCTTTTTCCAATATTACGAAGTCCCCCTAAACCCTAAACCCCAAAACTTATAGTAGATTCCATTATTACTAAGTCCCCCTGACCCTTCAAGTAGGGCATCTCAAGCTTCATATGTCCCTCGAACATTCAAAAGTTCCCTTGTCCCTAAGCCCTGATTGACTTAGATGGACCCCACACCCTGTAATAGTGGCTATAAGGGATAATAAGGTTTGTGTTAGGGTCCTATCATATTTATACTCCTATTCTACCACTATTACAGGGTGGGGGGGGGTCCTTCAAATGGGTAACCAACTCCCCCAGATAATGGGCTTGGGGTTTAACGCTTAATCATAAAAGCATGTGAACCCTAAACCATAAACCCAAGCATAGGTTTTGACCCCAAACTGCTCTTGCCTAGACCGCGCGGCATCGAGTTTAGGGTTTGTGGCCCCTTCATTTTTGGTATTTGATAATACAATTATAAGGATATCATATAGGTGTCTCTTTGTGCAATGCAAGAACTGGCCTTTGAAGGAATGGACCCTTATAGCTGTGACTTCCCGAATACACTACACATTTACTCTGCACCACAAGCCTGCTTACTAATTTTTCTTCGAGATCAATGGTGGGATATTGGAGAGTTGTATGTCTGCTGAAGCTGATGCTTGGCCAGCTGGGCGTACAATCTACTGGAATTAAGTACTACCTTCTGCAAGGGCTAGGGCCAGGGCCAGGTGACCAGAAGCTGGTCGGAATTGCATCTTTTGGTGGAGCTGCCTGCAAAAAATCACAAAACATGTCACTCAAAGCCCACAAATCCGAAGTCTCCACTGCCCAGAATCCCACATCAACTTGCAAGGCACATTTGAGCGCAATGTGTGGAAGTGCGGAATTATCAACAAACTTTGCAGTCTGCACTCCATACTTGTCTACCTATGTACGCACCACAGTGGAAGACCCACGGCCCGCCTTCAGCACGAAAGACTCAGCGCTGCAACCGGTGCATGCTGACAAGACCTGCAGCCTCGGACTTTGGCTGGTTGACACACCAGCTTCCTTATATCCCAAGTGCGTGCCTGCAGCCTTCAACAGCCCACCAAATTGATGGCTTATTCGGGACAGAAAAGTCTTGGCCGGTCTCTGCATCACACTCACATGTGCTAGGTGTCCTCTGAGCATCACATTCCGAATATCTTCATCTAGGCTATGCGAAGCCCGCAACTCCTCTCCCAGGACCTCATCCCAGTCTGCCATGGTCTGGGAGCAGCGAAGTCCCAGACTAGGTCTGAGTCTAACTTCACAGTAGCTTTCAAACCCACAAAGCTACTGATTGCTACTGCGCTACTGAGAAGCCACACAGGCCTGTTTGGAATGAAAGCTGGTGAGTCCTGGATTTCAGCATGGGTGCAAGATTTTGATTGCCACAGAATAAATAAACTCATTGCGATGCACTGACTCAAACACTACATTCCCACTTGCCCCCCACCGAGCACAAAACTTGTAACACGTGTTGCTGAGAACAAAAAAGTTGAACAGGGGTCTAACCGCTGAAGCCAGAGTTTGGT